TTATTGACAAAGTCATCAATAACAAACACTGGGAAAGGAAACCATATTTAGCAAATGGTGCTGGGAAAACTGTTAGATACATGCAGAAGAATGAAACTGGACCCACACCCAGCACCATGTAAGAAAATCAACTCAAAATGAATCAAGGACATACATGAAAACTTCAAACTATAAGAATCTTAGAAGAAAACATATGGAACACCCTTCTAGATACTGAAGTAGGCAGTGAATTCATAACTAAGTCCTAGCAATTGCAACAAAAGCCAAGATAGACTGGTAGGACCTTGTCAAACTGAAAAGCTTTTGCACAGCAAAATAAACCAGTGAAAGAATAAAGAGACAACCCATGAAATGGGAAAATATTTATAAGTTATGCATCAGACAAAGGCCTGACATCCAGAATCTATAAGGAACTTAAATGAATTGAAAGTAAAAACAAAACAAAACAAAACAAAACCATTAAAAGTGGACAAAGGACATGACCAGACACTTCACAAAAGAGGACATACACGCAGCCACTTAACACATGAAGAAATGCTTAACCTCACTATTCATCAGAGAAATGCTAATTAAAACTACAGTGAAATACCACCTAACAATGGTAAGGATGGCTATCATTAATAAAACAAAAAACAAAAAACAAGTGCTGGTGCAGTTACAGAGAAAAGGGGACACTTCCACACTGCTGGTGGGAATGTAAGCTAGTTCAACCTCTATGCAAAACAGTGTGGCAATTCCTCAAAGAAACATAAATCAAGCTTCCGTACAATCTAGCAAGCCCCCTCCTGAAAAAGTACCCAGAGGAACATAAATTGCTCTACCAAAAAGACACCTGTACATGCATATATGCTGCAGCACTAGTCACAATAGCAAAAACACAGAACCAACCCAGATGTCCATCAAAAGTAGACTGGATTAAAAAAAAAAGCTGTATATATACATGATGGAATATTACACAACCAGAGAACAACAAAATCATGGCCTTCATAGCAACTTGGATGCAGCTGTAGACCATCGTATGAGGCAATCTATCACAGAAAAAAAGAACTGAATACTGCATGTTCTCACTCATAAGTGGGCCCTGATCACTAGTCACACTGGCACAAGAGTGAGAGTGGCAGACACTGGACACAGCAGAGGAGAGAGGGAGGGAGGAGGCAGGGGACCACATGACAACACACTGGGTATCTGATCCACTGTCAGGGGTAGAGAGGGATAGTTAGAGGTCAAAACTTGACCTGCATGCAACCTACTTATGTAGTAAATCCTTACTTGGACCCCACAACTCTAAAATAATAAATAAAATGGAAAATTAGCAAAAAATAAATAAATAAAAATAAAAGTCAATTCACACCTGAGAGTGGATATAGCTTTAAAGAGGGTTAAGCATGCGGGAGCCTTGTGGTGATGGTGCAGTTCTGTGTTTTTGTTTTTTGTTGTTGCTTTTTGAGTCAGAGTCTCACTCTGTTGCCCAGGCTGGAGTGTAGTGGCATGCTCACGGCCATTGCAGCCTCGACCTGTTGGATTCAGGCAATCCTTCCACCTCAGTCTTCCAAGTAGCTGGAACTACAGGCATGCACTACCACACCTGGCTTATTTTTTTATTTATTGTAAAAATGAGGTCTCACCAAGTTGCCCAGGCTGGTCTTAAACCCCTAAGCTCAGACAATCCTCTCGCCTCGGCCTCCCAAAGTGCTGGGATTACAGGCTTGGACCACTGTGCCCGGTCTCAATTCTGTATCTTGACTACAGTAGCAGTTACATGAAGCCACATGTGTGAAAAAATTGTACAGAAATAAACACACACACACAAACATGCACACGTACACAAACACACAGTGCAGGTAGAACTGTGAAAAGTGAAAAAGCTCTGTGGATTGTATCCATGTAAGTTTTCTGTTCTATATTCTACTATAGTTATAAGCGATATTAACATTGGGGGAGGCTAGTGCATTTCTTTGCAAGTTTCTGTATATTTATAATACTTCATATAAAATGTACCTCTCTGTACATTATAAAATGTACCTCTCTGTACATTTCTTTGCAAGTTTCTGTATATTTATAATACTTCAACATAAAAAGCTAAGAAAAAAGTCTAATAAACTTGCGAGATCACTTCTGCCTAAAACCTATCACACTGAGCTCTGATCTATTTTATTAATAAAACAATAATTATATATTAGAAAGAGTTATTTCACATTAAAAGTTAGGGGCAGGGGAACAAAGTAAAGAATAATATAATATTTGTCTTAAATATTTTCCACGGTCCAAGGACTAAAGTAAATGTTTTAGATTTATTATTGTATGCAATTTTCAAAACTATCCTATAAGGTAGCTGAGTATTAGCATATTTTTATAAGTGGGTGAGTTAAATTTTGAAGATGTTAAATTTGTTTAAGGTTATAAGTTAAGGTGGTAAGTGGGTAAGCCGCAATTAGACCCTAATCTTGTCAGAAACTAAAACTTAATTTTGTTACTCCATTGTGACTGCTTCCCATTTAAGCCTAAAATAGCTGCCAATATTCAAGCAACTACACTTGTCAAATGGATCCCCTTAATCAAGACTCAAAAGAACGAGGCTGTATTGGTCCACAATCTCTCATCTGAAACATTTAGTTAGGGCAGGTACGTTCCAGCATTCATACCTTTTTGGAATTTAGGAAGGTAATAGCATATATACTGTACACTATACTTACTATACTACTACTCGTGTGAGTTTGAGGGCCATTCAATGTGATCAAACACCATGTAGCAAAATGTAGAGATAAGCATAGTAAACTTGATAAAAACCTATAGATAGCCTTGTGTCAGTTCTAGTTTGTCTGCTATCAAATGAGTCTATAAAAATAAAAACACCTTTTGGTTTCAACAATTTCAGGATTGTGGAAATGTAGGCTATAAGATTAAAGACATGAAATATGTTAAACACAGAATATGCACACCCCTACCCCTTCCTCCTCCAACAACAGAAACTTATTTTTTGAAGTCCTTGATTAGAAAAAGTAATGTCATTTTACACCACCACCTTAAAAAGACAGAGATTACCCATTCCTTAAAAAGATACCTGAATTCATCCTCCTATGAAGGGATAAGCAGTCATACCAAAAGACATCAGGTAAGTGGTTGCTACCAAAAGAGTAGGTTCTGGAAGCCTTTGTAAACAAGCCAATGGAATGATAACAGTTGCATTGTTTTTGTCAGATCTCACCAACAACAATAATTAGAAGAGATGAAAAGATTGGGGGAATACTATTTGAAGCCTACCAGTATAAAAAACGAACAGTACAGCTTTGAAACCCTATAAAAAACACAAACACCAAAGTGAACAGGAAAAAGGCAAAGTGCAGAGTCAAGAGCCATACAAAGCAGCTGGATGTCAACTACAGCTCTTCTACTTCCTGTGCTTCAGGTTCCTTCATCAAAGAAAAAAATACTACTACCTATTTCAGGGTTATTATTGCTAGTTACGTCAATTAACAGATATTCACTATTTAGAACATGTATGGCACAAATGTTAGCTATTATCATTATTACTATCTAAATTGTCCTAGGTTTCCTTACAGTTACTATGAATGTCATGGAAATTATTTATGATGGAGTTTCATTTCTACTTCTTCACATGTTTTATTTTTACCTTAAAATTTCAAGTAAGGATTAAACTGTCATGAAGTTCACTTCTATTTTTTAAAAGGACAGCTTTATTAAAGAAATTAAACTTTAAAACATCATTCACATGTCAGTTCTCAATGTTTACACAAACTATCTTGTAAACAAGATAATTCTTGGTAAACATTCCCCCACAATTAAGACTTATTGTAAGCCCGAGAACTTAATGCAATTACTGGATTGCTTCTTTACATGTTTCTACTTTTGAATACTTTCCCAAAAAATAGACAAACAGGCAAGAACATACTTTCCAGAATCAGAAGACTAGGATTTCAATTCTATCCCCAGCATATGTGCTAGTAATCTTAAACAAGTCCTAAGATGTTTGAGTTTCAGGAGACTCATCTTAAAGAGTTAACATGTCAAGACCAAACAAAAAATAATTTATGAAATATCACTGGGCTCTGTGGCTCAGCCTGTAATCCCAGCACTTTGGGAGAGCGAGGTGAATAGACTTCCTGAGCCTGCGGGTTCGAGACAAGCCCAAGCAACTTGGTGAGACATCATCTCTACAGCAAAACAGCACGTGCCTGTAGTTCCACCTACTTGGAAGACTGAGGTGGAAGGATCACCGGAGCCCAGCAGGTTGACTCTGGGGTGGCCGTGAGCGTGTCACTGCACTCCAGCCTGGGCCACGAGTGAGACTCCAACTTAAAAAAAAAATTGCCAGGCTCAGTGGCTCAGCCTGTAATCTCTCGCCTATGGGAGGCTGAGGTGAGTGGATTGCCTGAGCCCGAGGGTTAGAGACCTGCTCTGGGCAGGCGAGACTTCGTATCTACAATAAAATAAAAAAATTAGCGGGCGTGGTAGTGCGTGCCCGTAATTCCAGCTACTCAGAAGGCTGAGGCGGAAGGATCGCCGGAGCCCAGCAGGTCAAGGCTGCGGTGGCCGGGAGCGGCCACTGCACTCCAGTCTGGGCGACAGAGTGAGAGTCCAACTCAAAACATAAATTAAAAAAAAAAAAAATTGTATACTGATAGACAGGCTGAAAGAACCATTCATACAACTTTTACTAACAAATCAATGAATTCACTAAAGTTCTTCCAGAAATATCTTTTATATATGATAGTTTTTTTGTGGCGTAAAGCCTAAGAATCTAGTTAGTATATAACCACTTGCTTAGTGAAATGTGTTGTGATCTCTAATATATTTTTGTAATATCTTCCTAAATAATCTAGAAATTTTAAATTAGACAAAAATTTCAAGCACTGTAATTTTTAAATTCCTATCATAGAAGATTAAGAAAGACTGCACAATAAGGGAAGTGTAGGCATAGATAAATAAACTTACTTTAGTTTTCATTTGAACAAGGTGTCATAAATAGCCATGCTTACCAGTGTCACTGGCAGGCTCAGATGTGAGTGGTTTTGGAGCTGGTGTATTTTTGGGTCTGGCAGCAACCTGAGGTGGAGATGAAGGTGTGTTGTCTCCATTAACTATATACGAGCAGCAAGAGTTTTGGACTAGAGTGCTTGCAGGTGCGTGATCATCTACTCCATCAGTACCTTCAACAGCCAACCTTTTAAAAAAAAATGCCTTATTTCAATGAGTTTAGTACAATTAGACAACTTTTCATCAGGAATTTCATAAGAAATATTTACTGAGTTCTTAACATTCAAGTAAAATAATGGTAAACAGAGTAATAAACAAGATGTGGCACACTTTTATTATAATTTAAATTATTTCCAGTTCTAAGTGTAGTCAGATTGCAGATTAAAAAATAGTGAGATACATAAATATACTAAGTCAAAATATAGTCCCTCATAATTATGTTCAAATTGTACATTTTAAATGTTTAAATCTGAGAATATTAATTTATTTTAAATGTTCTGAAAGTAGTTTCAAAAAGCTCATGAAATTATATGAAACATATAAAAATCAATTCCAAACTATTGTAATTTTATTAAATATTGAAAAATATGCTAAAATATATGCAAATATTGACTACAAATATTCTGTACTAGGTACTAAAATTACAACTACATATTATACCTCGGTTATAAGAATTTGTAGTATATTAATTAACTGCAAATAAACAAATAAATAAAAGCTACAACCATAAAATCAAACATTTTAAGTTTTTTGGTAGTGGTGTTGGGCAATATCATGTAGGTGATCAGTTGAACTCTTCCAAATACACAGAACATCCTTTATTTATTCACCACAGGGCAGCATAAGGATTGTTTTAAAAACATAGATCATGTCCTTCCCCTGCTTAGTCAACAAAGCTTTTGAAAATCATCCCACCTGTACCTCCATCTAGCTTTCTCATTTATTTTTCTCCAAGCTGCTCCCTACTTACTTTGCAATAGATATACATCTCAAGTTTACTGAATGTGAAAAATAAGCTAAAAAGTCTTCAAATGTTTGTTACAAGTTATTACATACCAGGTAGTAAAACTAGGAGATTATCAGAAAAGGTTAAATATTATACTATATTGAGTTAGAAAAATTTGTAGAACATATAGTAACTGTAAATAAATTCAGGATCTTTGATGTTGCTATTTCCTCTACTTGGAATGCTATTCCTTTAGAACTCTGCTTAGATGGTTCATTTTTGGCTTTTTAATTTTAGCTCACATGGGACTTTCTCAGAGGTGATTCCTTGGATCTCTCTCTTTAAAGACAGGTGCCCTTCCACTTCTGTCACCCTGTCCTGTTTTATTGACTTCATAGTTCTTATTGCTATGATTAATTTGCTTGTTTATTTCTTCTATTGTTTACTATCTACTTTATCCCACCAGAATGTAAATTTATTGGGGACAGGACTGATATTCATAGTGTTTGGCTAGTGAAACAGGCACTCAGTAAGTATCTGTTGAATTAGTAAATGATTAATGAATCCCACCATCCTTTCCCTTGTCATCTGAATATTTAGAATGAGCTGTGCTTAGGAAGATTCAGCAGGTAAAACCTAAAAAAGCTCCCAAATGATTCTGATTTGTACATCCTTCCACAGTCAGCCAGCAAAAATCAGTGATTCAAGAGTCCAAGTAAAATAACTCATTTGAAGGCCTCCTGGTACTACAGAAGTAATCTTTAATTCAAAATGTATGTCTATGTAATAAACAATTTCAGATAGGTAGTAATTCAAGCTCCTCTACTCATCTAAAATTGTATTTTAAAAACTGTATGGACACTAAATATAGTTACTTAAGTCAAACATATGTTCAGACAACATACTTAACTGTCCAAGTGGTCTGATAAGAATCATTTAATGGCAATTCAGGGCTAATGACATTAACAGCTTTGTGTTGGGAGCTAGCCATGGAGGCCTTCCTGCTGATAAAGTCCAGGGGGCTGAAAACCCCGGGTCACAAAGCAAACCTGGGCAGCTGAGACTCTTGCTTCTTCTACTTTTGTTATCAGAAAGTGCTCGATTTAATGTCTGCCAGGGAACTCATTGGCCTTGCCAGGAAATTATCAATAGAGATTTTAAATATCAGGTGTGGATAGATAATTACTTGTAAGATTTTATTTCTTCTAATTGGTGACTAATTGGAGAAATTTGAGAAGCTACAGTTTGTATTTTTAGAAAGAGTGGCAATGTAAAAATTACATTTACTTAATTTCTTAATTTCTACATGTGGTGTATTATACTTAAAAATTAACAATCTCATAAATATTAGAGCACCCTTGCCTTTACTTTCCTTTGTTAAGGAGGCTTGTAATTCTGGTGACTTGAGCCCGAGAGGCCTTTTATTTTACAAACATTAAAGCTCATTCTTCCTGGCAGGAAATAATTAACGCAGATTGTAAACACCAGGTGTGAAGTTAGGAAAAACTAGTCAGGCAGACTTGCAGCTAAAAAACCTTAAAAATGTTGCTTTACCCCAGCTAGTTGCAAATTACTGTGTGAAGGTCACAGGTGTGACTTGTTAATCTATGTGATAATTATAGTGCTTAAAACTTGGTAATGACTTATAATAGTTATAAAAATAAGTAAATTCTATATGGACATTAAAAAATGATAATCATTAAAAAATGTTAAAAGTTTATAGTTAATGTTTAAGATGATAATGTTTTAAGATCAAAACAGGATAAACAAAGATACATTGCCTGTCCAGTTCATTAAATTATAACTGATTGCCTTGAAAACAAAAAACATGTAGGGTATAAAAGGAGTTAAAAAAGACAACAAATCGGCATTTGTCCTGCTTGCAGCAGAGTCAGTGTCCAAGTTTTTTCTCCTGCGCCTATGCTGTCCCTCTTTCAGGAAACCCTGACCTGCTGGAGCTGGACTCCAGCAGCTTTGTAGATTAACAAAGCTCACACTTTGTCACATAGCAACAAGTTTTTTCAAATGTAACAAGTTGATTTTACAATAATATGCTCATATTTTCAGGTATTAATTCCACTATATTTGATCTATTATACACATTTATTCCAATTTAAATGATTTCAAACAGAGGTCCTCTATTAATTGTCATGAAATATGAATGCTAGGGAGTTTCTAAAATGGTATAATGATTTTTTACTTTTGAGATCACAATCTGTAAAACATTTATCTCCTTGTGATCTACAGGAGAATGCCAATTCAAGCAGCAATATGTACCTATTTTACCATAGTATCTGACTCTATTTGCTGATAAAACATGCTTAATACAGATTTTTAAAAGTCATTTTCAATAAAGCATGAAGCACTATATATGTTATAACATACATGAACCTTGAAACATGCTAAGTAAAAGCAGTCACTACCAAAAGGTCACACAGTCTATGAATCTATTTATATGAAGTGGCCAGAATAGGCAAATCCACAGAAAGACAAAGTATATTCGTGGCTTCCAGGAGCTGGGAGCAGGGAGAAATGAGGAGTGACTACTCCAGGGTACAGAGTCCCTTTTCAGGAGAGAAAGGCTCTGAATTAGACAATGGTGAAGATTTCACAATTCTATTAGTATACTAAAAATTATGAAAATGTACACTTTAGAAGAGTGAATGGTATATGTATTATATCTCAATAAAACTGTTCTCTTAAAAAGCTACTTTAACAAGAATTCAACCAAATGACATGTCTAGATGCAAGCATTTAAATTCTGTGGCAAACTCTAATCTAAGGTAAAATTTAAAACTTCATATGTGGGAAATAAGTCACATCATGTTGCCACAAATACTAAAATAAAATATTCTACCTGGCAGTTGTCCTTGCTGAAGGCGCTTCATTTTCATGTAAGGCATCACCATTTTGCTGTATTTCTACTGAACAACAAGAAAGAAATAAACTAGATTTTTATATACTTCTTGCTGATTCTTTTACTTTAAATTTCACAAACACATAAAGTTAGCTTACTGTTTGGAGATGAGCTGCAGTTGGTAAGGTTTTCTTGCTCAATCACCAATCCATCAAGCACAACTGTCAATTCACCAGTCTGCGCTATGCCATTCTTGTTTTCCAAGGAAAGTTTTAATTGTTCTTTCACTCTTTCCACTAGAAAAAAGAACATCCTAATTTAAAGTCTTTGCCACATACAAAAGTATTTTAAAAATGAAAACTACATTTCTAGAATTACTCTAATTCAGTACTTGACATTTAGAAGGAATTCTTTGTATTTTTCTCTACAGACCCATCTATACTACATCAGGATCAATCCCTTGAGGAGTTAAGTAGCTCCTCTTCCCCCACCCCACACTTTCAATATCATCTTTAATTGCTTCTGTGCATATTATAAACTTCAGAGAATATACAAATATATCTAAATAATAAGTACAGCAATTGTCTAAACTTGCTCTTCAACACAAGTTACCAAAGAGGACCATGGTTCAGGCAGTATTTCTGCATGAGAACCAGGTAGTTTGGTTCTAGTTCTGCCTCTTACTGACTGTATTTTGAGTAAGTTACTCAAATTTCTTTAGCCTGTTTCTCCATTACAAAATGGAGATAATGAGTTCAAACTCAAGGGGCAGTCTTAAGAACCAAATGCAAAACCACAGTTCTAGTACCACATCTGACACACAGTAAGTTCTCAATAAATGGTAAGTATTGTCACAATCAGTTAACTTTTTTTTAATATAAAGTCAAATACTTCCTTCCCATTATTAAAACATCTACTTCTTACTTAACCTCAAGGCCACTTTGCTTCAATGTCTATCCCTAAGAATATATATTAAAACTTACTAGTAGGGAACTGGGGAAATGGGGAGATGAGGTTCCAAAAGTACAAAGCCTCAATTAGATAGCAGGAATATTTTTCTCTGAAATATATTGCACAGCATGGTAAAATAGTAAATAATGTGCTGTTCATTTCAAAATCACTAAGAGTAAACTTCAAATGTTCTAGTCACAAAAAAAGGTATTTGAGGCAATGAATACCTTAATTAGCTTGATTTAATTATTCTATTTTACATTTTTAATATCAAAATATCACTCTATATCTCAAAGATATATACAACTATAATTTATCAGTTTATAATTAAAAATCAAATCTAAAACAAAGTAACTGGTGATCACCTTATTATTAAAAATGAGGCCAATTACTTTAATAGGATCTTCAGTAGTTTTCTGCAACTTTTGAAATCATAGAACATTTCACTTCTTAGATAAAGTCCTTGATTTTGATTTTCCCCATATTTAATACATTTGGGGTTGGATTCCCCATTTACCAAATATTCAGCATAAGTATGTTGACTAATTATCCATGTACAAAAACAAAACAAAAATCTAAAATTACTAAGCACTGGACAGAAATTCTTCGCAAAAAGAAATACATACCCTAACCATTTATAGCACCATAAACTTAACTTCCACCACACATCAAAAAACAAAATAAAAGCAATTAGAGAGACTAGACAAAATACAAAAGCATATATAAATAAACTACAAAAGTATAACTATCAGTTTTATCTAATAATCCATATCTGAAGAACACTATATTAACCAACATTCACTTTCATTCTTGTCATCTGTCACCATTTAAAGTGTCTGGAATTTGGCAATTTGACTTTTTTCTAGTATGTAACTGTTTGAAAAGATTCCTAAAGAAAAGCCTTTCTTAAGTAGCTTGGAAAATCCTTTGATTTTTTTTTGTACATCTGTAAATGTTTGATTTCTCATCTTTGTCAGCCATGCAATTTTATATTAATAATGATCTCCTCCCAATTGTTTGATATTTTTCTGCTATCTTCTTTTATTGCTAATTCTGCTATTCTAATTCATAAATCTTTGCAAATAATCTGTTTTTACATATAACCTCTTTAAAATGTATTCATCTTTGGTGTTATACATTTCACTATGATATGTCTAGACATGACTTTCTTTTTGCTTTTGTTTGGAACGGTATGAATCTGTGGATTCATATTATTCATTAGTGTCCAAAAACTTGCAGCCATTATCCCTTCAAATATCTCCTCTACTCCACCCTCTATTTGAGGCCAAAATCTGGTCTATTAATTGTATTTTGTAAATAAAGTTTTATTTGAACACAGCCAGGCTCATTTATTTACATACTTTTTTTTTTTTTTTTGAGTTGGAATCTTATTCCGTCGCCCAGACTGGAGTGCAGTGGCACGCTCCTGGCCACCATAGCCTCGACTTGCTGGGCTCCAGCAATCTTTCCGCCTCAGCCTTCTGTAGCTGGAACTACAGACGTGCTACCACGTCCGGCTAATTTTTGATTTATTGTAGAGATGAGGTCTCGCCAAGTTTCCCGGGTGGGTCTCGAACCCGCGGGCTCAGGCAATCCACTCACCTCGGCCTCCTAAAGTGCTGGGATTACAGGCTGAGCCACCGAGCCTGGCCTATTTACATACTTTTTATGGCTACTTTCATGCTACACTGGCAAGTTATTAGGTGTAAGAGAGACCATATGACCTGCAAAGTCTAAATATTTACAATCTGGTTCTTTATGGAAAACCCCTGCTTACGGTGACTTGTTCCCTTATGTTTACTCTCCGATATTAAAGGTAATCTCTGGATTTTTAATACAGTCAAGCTTTATTCTTAATTCTACCAGAGGTTTGATGGTAACCTCTCACCTCCAGAGTCTAAACAAATGGAGTCGGAGCTTAGTTCCCTTATCTGGCTGTTAGATAGTAGTTCAGCATCCTAAAAGCTGTTGTCAGCAGAGTCAACTACTCAAATTATGGTTTATGAGGGGTTTTTTTTTTTTTTGGTTCCCTGCACTCCCTTTTTTTGCTTTTTTTCAAGAAGGCGGGATCTCTGTCTTTTTGCAAAATCATCAATGCCACAAACATTTGTTCTATCCAGGACCTAGCTGTTCTGCAGTCGGAGGCTATTTGAAGCATGCAGTTTTTTAAAGTTCTGAACATGGAAGACTGAGGTATAACACTGTCAATCACATAACTGGAGAGACTATCACATAAGTATTTCCCATCTACATGTGTACGTATATGTATGTCGGAGGTATAAATGTATCATTCTATCACAGTAAAAACAAACCAACTCAGACATATTTATCCATTTAATATTTGAGTGTAACTGTGTGTAGGTCTTTGTAGCTGGGAAGAAGCAGGATAAACCTGGACCAGCCTCCCTACCACTTCTTTATTTCCTTCAATGCACTTACCACCACAAGGAATTTTTTTTTTGGTCTATTTCCCCAGATGAACTGCTGTCTCCAACAGCAGAGAGATCTTGTCCACCTAATTCAGTGATGCATCTTCAGCATCTACAGAAGGTAGGTGCTTAATATACATTTAAAATAAGCGATTAATATAGTACTATCCTCAAGGAACTTATCCTTGCAAGGCAGCAGCTGGTTTCTCCTACTTCTAGACATTCTTCCTTAGCTTTAATAGGGCACTAGAACAACCTGAATCTCTGAGGAGCCAAGTTTATAATTAGGTAATTTATCCTATAATCATGGATTTGATTAAAAAATATACACCTTCCCAGTCTCCACAGAAAACAAAAGATCTTCAAAAATCTTGGTGTTTAAGGTGTCTCAAAGATTTATATTTAGCTCTGAATCACCTTCTGAAGCTGTTTTTAAAATTATGTAAACAATGTATTAATTATCTATTACTGAGTAACAAATTATCTTAAAACTTAGTGGGTAAAAACAATAACCACTCATTACTGCTCACAGTTACTGTGGGCTGTGAACTCAGGAGAGGCTTACACACACATCTTACAGGTTGGTACTGGCTGCTGAGAGGAGACCTCAGTGCCTCTCTGCAGGGTTTTTTGAGAGTCTTCCCAATAGTGGCTTATTTCCCACAGTGAGTAATCCAAGAGACCAAGGAAAAGTTAAAATGCTTTTATGACCAAGTATTGGAGGTCATGTATCATTACTTCTGCAACACTATTTGTCATACAGACCAGTTCTGATTCAGTGTGGAAGGAGACTACACCAGGGTGTGAAACACCAGAAGGTACAAATGCCTAGGGGTCATTTTGGAAGTTGGCCAAAGTACACACAAACACGAGAAAAACAATTTTTAGAAACAAAACTAGTGTGTTAGGTATCACAGTTCATAAGTGACAGCATCAATAATAACCAGGTTTTCAGATTCCTAAGTCTTTTCATTACATCATGCTATGAGTTAATGCTCAACAATTCACAACATTAAGTTTCCACTTCCTACCATGTAACAAATTTCAGAATTTATATAAAAAATTAAAATAAAAAATAATATAGATAACCATCAATTCTAGGAACCTGAAACAGTTTTCTGCACAAAAACAAAAGGTTAATAAAATCTGACGAATTGATAAATATTAATCTTCTATAATACAAAACTCAGAATAACAAATAAAAAGGCTAATGATTAACTAGGAGAAAAAAGTAAAAACTCTTATAAATCAGTGAAAAAAAATAAGCAAACCAATAACAAAAATAACATGAAACAATCATAAATGATGATGTATAAATGATTAACAATCAATAATCTTTGATTATTAATATGACCTTATTAATAATCAAAGAAATGCTTTGCTAAGAAAAATCTTCATCTTTTTTATCAATGTGGCAGATATTTCCAAACATGGACTCATACGTTACTTTGTGCGTACTAGTAAGTACAACCTTTCAGGAATGTAACTGGACTCGGAAGTTTAAAAAAACTGGCAGATTTTGCAAAACTGAACAGGAAGGTAAATGTATAGCTAGAGGCATAAAACTTTTCATTCCTTTTGAACTAGTAATTTCAATACTAAAAATCTTTCTAAAGACGTAATAGAGAGGCATTTTTATCATGAGACATATTTTGATCAAAACTTCGATTTTAAAATATCTTAGTTTGTATTGGTAGTAAGTGAATTTATAAAGCAGAAATTAAGTCTCAGCAAACTAAACAAATAACTAGACTAAAATAAACAAACAAATTAAGTAAATAAGACTTAAAAATATTTTTAAATAAAATAAAATTTGAATATGCTCTGTATAGTATCATAAATGACACATTTCTTGGCTGTATATCCCCACCATTCAATAGAAAGAGTAACTGTTAGGATATAATTCAATTTAAAAT